ACTTCAAATATGTGAGAGTTTTGTACATTTTTCAGCAGGATGGTACAAGATGCCATGTTTTGAAGTCAACCATAAATTCTGTATAAGTAAAAAGCTTTGTACATTTCAAAATTTGGCCAAGCCAGTCTCCTGATTTTGAATGTTATAGAAAAATGTTGAAATGTACCAAAGAGAAAAGTGAAAGCTAAATTTCTACAGACTATTGATTAACTTTATTGCATATCATTTTTGGAAAACTTGTTAATTATTTCTTTATCAATATAAACGAAAATATTTGCTTGTTAAAATCTTTGACAAACAAAATAAATAGAAAAATCTTTTAGATTACCGTATTTTCCGGCTTGGAAGATGCACCCTAATATTGGAAATAAATTTCTAAGAACAAAAAAGTCATTTTCATAAAACACATTCACCATGCATCTCTCACATACTAGTGCCATGCATTGTTTACATTAATCACTCGTCCAATTTTGTTTGTATGGCAATGACATACTAGTCAAGAGCAGAAAGGCTTCCACTGCTACTAGTAAACAGAGAATGTTTAAGCTTGTGGCTCAGTTACAGGAAACTTTATAGTCTTGGAAATACTTGTAACAGATAAGTACTGAGGTTACATCATATAAAAGGCTTAATTAGATAGCTAACATTATAGCATCATGACTCAACATGCAAATCCACGTCCTATCAGTCAAGCCAATTAGGTGACCATCCAAGCTTAATTGGGCCTAGGCATTGCCTTACATTTGCTTGGAAGATATACACATATTTTTCAGGGTATTTTTTAAGAAAAGTGCATCTTGTAAGCCGGAAACTATGGTAATAAGTACTTTCATTTGTTATCTCTGTTTAAATCTCAGATTAAATCTTGAATCACAATTTATCAAATCTATTAAAATCTTATTAAATAGCATCTAGGATTACTACATTTAAATTAAACATTTTCCTAATAAAGAATGCTATCATAAAGCTTAGATGAAGAGCATTCAAAATTTCTTTGAAAGTCTTTAACATTTCCTCGATTGACAGGTTGCATTTTTGTAACAAAGTGGCAGTGTTGATAATTGTGTATCAGACCCTGGTGTGGTGAAGGTTGTGAGTAGCTCTAATGATATCTTGAAAGAAGTGTTAAAAGGACTCATGTTCTTTCCATTGTCAGCCACAGCAGCTTTACCTGGTTAACATTTGAAACGAAAGAACCTATCTACTTGACCGAGAACTGAAAAGATTTGAGTCAAAGTGAAAATATGCATCTGGAACATGCTTGACAATAAATGCCAAGCTGATAACGATGATGACTTGAACTTTGGCTTTAAGTTATTTTCACGAAGAGAAATCAAATAATTGGAAATCTGATAAAAAAAACAATGGCAATTCAATTGTATTGTACTTCAAATGGATGACAATACATAAAATCATCTAAATTAATGTTTTTTGGCATATGTGTTTTGCTTTATAAACTTGAAAGGAAATGATTAAACTCCTTTACTAAAAACCTTTTTGATTTGTAGGCAAAGGACCTATAATGGATACCTGAAAGGAAAAGAACAAAAAAAATATATTTTCAACCTCCAATGAAGGTAAACAGGAAAATATACAAGAAAGTAAAAAAAAACAAACACTTTATTTTCTAGACCATGATATTTATTTCCAAGCACATTAATGTGGCAGTCAGGAGGGCACATGGCAGCAAGAGTGTCACATTTACCAAAAGCAAAATTGGAAAGGGAAAATAAATAATCAGATAAATATCGAAGTCTGTGTTGCAGACATGCCATAAGAAAGACGTCTGTCTCTGTGACGTCATATTGCAAGAAGACATATCAAATAAGACACACTGAGTTTGGCAAGGAAGAGTCTGGGATCTTTAAATAAAAGGAAAGATTTGGCTTTTAATTTAAACTTTAAAAAATATATTCCTCAACATGGAATACAAAGGAAAATGTCGGTAGTAGACAAATAGAACAGCTAAAAGATCTGTGAACAAAGATATCGTGTGTGTGTGTGTGTTTCAGTTTGTATGCATCGAGATAGGTACCAAATAAAGACAATAGGACCCAAAAGTTTGCCCTTGTCAGGACAAAAAAAAAATCAAAAAAAAAAAAACAGACCACAACAAATGACCATCGCAAAACCGTGAATGTCTGTGATAAGAAAAACCAAAAACAATAATTTGTGAATTTCAATGAAGAAGGAAAGACAAATGGAGATGAATCAAAGAAGGTCTGTGGATTATTTCAAGAGAAAGGAAAAAAGCTGAATAAATTAAAGACAAAAACATGGAGACAATTATATACATATCATTCAGTGAATAAATAACTTTTCTTTTTGCAAACGAATGGCCGAGTGCAGTCCATAATGAACAAAAACCTTTGCTTTTTCATTGAAAGCAAATATTTCTCATGAAAACCAACTTTTCAGGCAAAAGGCAGAAGAAATGAGAAATTTTGAAAAGACAATTCCTCTTTGTAGCTGTCTCAGAACAAAGAAAAAATGATTGCTCTATTATTTGGTAAAAGTAATGTACACATTGCTTTCAAATAGTTACTCTGTGTGTGTGTGTGTGTGTGTGTGTGTGTGTGTGTGTGTGTGTAGAAATGAAACCATGTGTGCATTTGTAGAAGTTGCATCACAATGTGAATATAAATATAGTGAAGTATGTGTAAATGTATAAATATACAAGTAGGTAATGAAATGCTTTCATTCCAACCAAGAAGCTCTTCCTAAGAAAAAGAAAATTCTGATGTTTGGTCAAATTTTGAGAAGTGGGTTCATCCAAGACCTTTTCATTACCTCTTTGTATCTGCTAATAGAAAATCAGCTTAGGTTAATCCAGCCCAAACCGAAATGGGTAAAAATCCAGATTTTTACCTGACCTAAAGAATCAACCATTGGTTCTGGTTGGAAATATACAACTTCAGCCACCAAATCGTCCTCAATGTATATACAGAAGTACATCAATAAATTCATAGCCTAATGAGGGGAAAAAGAATGTTTCAACATAATGTCTTTCCTTGTCAATGCCCTTAACTCAAAATTTCAACTAATAATTGTATCAGGCCATGAATTTATTGATATATTGCCCAGGGATGCATTTCTATATATATTTGAATGTATAAATAATCTCTATTGGCACAAATATATAAATCCATCTCAAGTGACACAAATGCAAGTCCAAGGAAGAAAAATAAAAACAATGATTGTGCTTTTGCATATTTGGATTCCTAAAAACTTTGCCATCAACAATTCACCAGTTGGGATTTACCACTCTCAAGGTTTAAAATGTCATTAATCAGTGAAGATAATCATTTGTAGATTGACAACACTGAAAAACTTTTACTAATTTAACAGAGGAGTGAGGATAAGGTGAGGAATTGAAGAGAGGGTCAGGTGGAGTAGGAGAGGAGTGGGTTCCTGAGTTTAAAAAATAGAATTTGGTAATTACCAGCCAAGAAAGTTCCACAAATTGAAGAAAGAAAGAGTTCTTTCTGTAATTATAAAACAGTGTTTTGGTGCATGGGTTTCAAAGACAGAAGCAATATGTCTCTTGAAGCAGCAACGGATGAAGATTAATTGAAGGAACCAAGAGGGAGTCGGTAGGAGAGACCAAGGACGCTAACAGAAGGCATTAAAGAAAGAATCAAAAAAGAAATTGATTATGCGTGAAACCATGTTCCACACAAAATGGAATGGAAGAAGTATGTTTGTTTGTTTCTCTATTTTTTGTTGACATTTTTTTTTATTTCAAAATAATCCATCTGACATTGTATTGAATCCCAAACTTTGTTCAGATAACTGAACTTCTTTGCATTGTTAATGTGATGACTGATCCTTTCTACAGTCTTCTTCTTCTTCTTCTTCTTCCCTCATAAGAAAAGAGAAAACTCACTTTTTTTTTTATACAAGATCTGTTGAATAAATTGACCAATATATTATATCAACAACACAAACTCAAAATCTTAATGACTCCTTAAAGTTATTGTCTTTTTGCTTGTTGTCTAATAAGTGATTGTGCTTTGATACAGGCATCTGGAAAAGCAATGCTTATTTTTTCATAAAACTATCATTAGTAAAGTAGTTGATCTCTTGATATAGATCGTAGAGGTGTACTTACTTTATTGGTATCTATTATAGAATGAGGAAACACAGACCAACATCTGAAGTTTGATAACTTTTCATGAAAAAGTCATGGCTCATCTAGTAAAGATGTTGGCTCAAAACATTTTTCTAGAAGCAAACTTGAATCCAAGCTGGCATCTGGAAATTGAAAAGTGCTTTGATTAGCAGAGTTAGTAGAAGATTCAAAGAAATAATATTTTATTAACTGAGCCATCTATGTTCACCAAAATTATGTAATATCTTCATTAGGTGCCAATCAGATTTGAATTCATACAAAGATATTAAGGATATAAGTAAAGACATATCTACAATATATGTCAACAGATTCAAAACTTATGATTTCATAAAGAAATTGATATACATTTTTGTGATACTGTGTAAATTCTCCAATATAACTTTAACACAATCTGCTATGTCCTCAATATTTTATATCCACTCTTCCTTCATATTAAGTAATAAATAAATCTTTGAAATCAGGATTACATATTGTGTAAAAGTTGTATTATTAATTACACAATATTGCCATTTTTGTTATTAATTATGCAGTGAAATTATTATTTTTTCTGAAGAGACATTGATTACGTCTTATTAAAACTGAGATGTTTTGTGATTTCGTTTTGTTTGGTGCAGGTAAAGCAGAGAAATAATTTAAATTGCCCAACAAACAGACCAACTGCAACCACAAATTGGCCAACTTTTCGTCAGCAGAAAACTTTGTCTGCTTAATCAACCTGCCAGCCTGTCTGTTGCTCACATAAACCATTCTGAAATGGTTCATAGCTTCTTTTTTTTTTGTTGTTGTTGTTTAGCATCTAGGGCCAATATGTTGGAAGCATCTCCAGTGGGTAACATCAAAAGGGAAATATGGAAAGAAATGAGAGGGTCTAGATAAACTCTGGGGAGCCTGTTGCTACCATCTGCCGAGAGAGCCATTCCAGGCCATCATGTAGACCGTACCCACTTTTAGCATCACACGCTTGGATGTGCCAGCTACGATTACAGCAAAGTTTAAAAAGAGAAAATTGTTCAGTCAGTTCTTCAATGCTGACACACATCTCCAGATCCTGGTCAAAAGAAAATAAAAGAAAGAGAATTTTTTTATTTAAATAACTTATACATTCAGAGTAAATGATTTTATTGGGACATATTTCAGAATAAGTAAGCAGTAATATTTACAACATGCATTATGTAATTTCTAAAGAAGTAATGGATTTTTTCAATATCTGTCTGTATATCTGAGATGAAGTATTTTGATCACTTGCATTATTTACATTATTTGAACAGTTATCCTCATCTTCATTGCCATATTCACAACTTTTTGGCCTCTATATCCCTGGGATGAGGTATTATAATTACTTGCATTATTTACATTATTCGGACTGTTATTTTCATCTTCATTGCTGTATTCACAACGTTTCAGCTTTGGTGAACCAAAACTTGAAGAGTTGAGTTAAAGGGAAATAATTGAGACATCTGGAAGAGGCATGGCATATGGAACTAGAACAACCTACTCCAATGGACGAAATAAAGGTTTTGGTTCAAAATTCCAATCACCTGAAGAAGACCGGAGTGCACAACAGCCGAAACATTGTGAATACGGCAATGAAGATGAGGATACCAGTCCAAATAATGTAAGTAATGGATTTTTTATTTATTAATCTGACAGATTTTATCACTTAAACATTATTTTTGGTGGATAATCCTATTGTGGAGGGTGCATATTTTTCTTTAATAAGATTTCTGAAATATTCAGGCTGGTAGACAAAAATAAATATACCGTTTAATAAATAATCAGTGTCAACTCAAATTTGAGTAACCACTAAAAATAACGTTTAAGTGATAAAAACAATCTTTAAGTAATTGAGTCATGATTCCAAATGTTTTCAGTTTAGAAAAGCATTTCTTATTTAGTTGTTGGGTAAAGAGAGAGCAGTCAAATATGTCATGAGAAATTCCAAATATACTTTCTGTTGTCATTGCTTTCACTGTTAACATGTTATATATATATATATATATATATATATATATATATATATATATATATATAAGTTACGAAGAACATGGTAAACCGAATGGGTAATTCCAAGGAGGATGAAATCCTGAGAGCTCAATGTGAATCCAGAACTAATATTTAATATATATATATATATATATATATATATATATATTTTTTTTTTTTCTATGCATATATATCGTGATTAAGATTCCAATGTAATAAATTATAACCATGGAATATTAATGTTTGAGCCTTTTATATTATATTCTTACTCTGTCCTGGACATTGAGTTCTACTTGGATTTTATTCTCTTGGTAATATATATATATATATATATATATATATATATATATATATATATATATATATACACATACATATAGACCACTAATATTATATATACATTAATATTATATATATATATATATATATATATATATATATATATATATATAGAGAGAGAGAGAGACCACTAATATATATATATATATATATATATATAGACCACTAATATATATATATATATATATATATAGACCATAATATATATATATATATATATATATATATATATATATATAGACCACTAATATATATATATATATATATATATATATATATACACTAATATATATATATATATATATAGACCACTAATATATATATATATATATATATATATATATATATATATATATATATATATATATATATAGACCATATTATATATATATATATATATATATATATAGACCACTAATATTATATATATATATATATATATAGACCCATATTATATATATATATATATATATATATATATATATATATATATATATATATATATATATATATATATAGTACAATTTTAAGTTTCTGACTTTGTATTACACACCATATGAGTCAAAAATGCTAACATTTTTTAACATACACACTGATGGTGAAAGGATGAAAATTAAAGAACAGAGATTTTTTTGCTTGATATTGAGACAACAAATGAAATGTGATAATTCATCAAATATGGTAATCTATATTTGTATATCAGATAAAAAAACATAAACATAAAAATTGGAAGGGATAAGGGAGAAAATAAGAAAATACAAAGGAGTGAGAGGAGTGTTTTGTAATATTCAAAATTTAATAATTGAAATTGCTAGCATGCAAGGATTTCAGAGCTTTGTCAAATTCTATACAAAAAAATGACCAACATATATGCTAAAACATCAGACTGCAGGAAAAAAATTGACAAAAATAAAAAACTAAACTAATTTTACATGCATAATAGAGAATTATCAACCAAATCACTGTTTATTTGAGTAAATTCAAAAACCTTCAAGTTTGTTTCCATTCTATTTTGAATATCTAACTCAAAGAGAAAATAATTACATAATCAATATGTTGACATTCCACATGATTTCAAATAAAAGGTTAAGAAGGAACACCTCCATTAGTAATGGAAAGAGTGATAACAGCTACTGAACTTGAGAAATCTATTTTCCTGAAAAATTGTTTTAAGAGAAAGATTTTATAAATTTCAGCTGACAGTAGTGCAAACTTCTCGATCAATGAATGCTAAATGTTTCCTTATAAGGTAACAGTTAATATTACCAGTACCATTTACAATGAAAAGATACATTTACATAAAATCAACTCACATATATATTTACATGCAAAATCTTTGCTGAAAAATTTAAAATAAATTGCAGCTCTTCATTTTATCATAATTATAGGAAGTTTACTTACTATATTAATTATAACAATATTACGATAAGAGTAGAAAGTATGAGGTAATGGCTAATCTTAATTGTCAACCAGCCTGGATTTTTAACAGGTCTATTAATTTAATAATTTTGATTTCAATTAAATTGTATTTGTTGTAATAGACGTACTTGTTTGTTGGCAAAAATAAGAAGTGAGGCTTCTCTCAGTTCCTTTTCTTGGACCAATTTGGCCAGTTCATTATAGGCTTCTTGCAATCGTTCTTTGTTGCTGCTATCCACAACATAAATCACAGCTATAATGAAAAAAAAGAGGAAATTATTACTAGGGGCAGATAACTTCTTCCACCTTTAAACAAATGGACAAAAGTAATTGTTCTCTTTACAGATAGTTTTATTCAGAACAAACCAAATTGAAGTGGAAAAACAATTATCAAAATATCAACTTTTCTTTTTTATTCAAACATAGTATTTATTAATTGTATGGTAATGCACAACCACCTCAACCACAAATGTTGAATTTGGAGTTATGCAGTTGAAATCTGTTTAACAAAATGGGAAAAGCAAATTCAAATGCAACAGGGAATAGAGTTTTAAAACAAATGTTAACTGTATTCAAAGAACTCAATAGATAAAATATTGTAATGCACATTTAATTTACTCATAAAACATTGACAGCCATCTGAGAAATAGCTTTCTAAACACACACACACACGGAAACACAAACACATATTTATAAAAGCCCACACATATTTATATAAACACACAAACACATATTTATACACATACACACATATTAAAAACAACAGACATTTTACGTTGATTAATTTTACTGAACTTTTTCAAATTACATATAATCCTTCTCAAACAAAGAGGAAATTCTGTCAGAAATTGACTGAAGTTTGTTTCAGAAGAAAAGTACAAGTAATATGGTCCAAGCTTTCAACTTAAGTCATTATTAGCATAGGTAGAGACATAGGATATACCATAATCACAGTCTCACAGAGATTCATCTGCCATCCATTGGAACATAGTGTCATCAGACAACACATTAATAAGCAGCATAAGGATCCTAGTAACATTACACAGCTGCTCACAAACAATACCAAAATACTAGTAAAATCAAATAAGAAAAAATAAACTTATGATCCTCAAAGCAATACCCACACAAAACAACCATCCATAAATAAAAACAATTACTCAAAATGTTCCCAACTCAACATGCAGATAACTATCAAACATGTATAAAAATGCATACTAGACACACACACACACACACAAATGAATATGCATTTTAGTCCCAGATAGACAAACTATAATTATGATACACATACACAAACAGACACTACCTAACAAGACAGATGCATGTGGAGTCTGCATAACCAATGAAAAACAAACAACACAAAATTAGAAATACCAGAATTTTCTTTTTCTCCTTCATATTTCATTCTCTGATGAAACTTTAATAAAAGCAAAACATGCTAGATTCATAAATGTTTCCTATTTGTCCCTTATCCTTTCACTCTGTCGAATTCAATTCATATATATATATATATATATATATATATATATATATATATATATATATTATTACGTACCACCAACTTTTACTGTTATAGTAGTAGCGGGAGGCACAATAACATAAAATCACAAATTCTTTTCCCAATGGTCCTTTTCTGATTGATCAAATACGGCTGAGCTAAATGGAATCAATTAATGAACAAACACAGTAGGTGACAAACAGGTAAATATATAGGGATAACAAATAACCATTTTATTACCAAAGTATACAAATGGCAATATGTTGGGGGTATATTAAAAGATGAAAGATGGGACAAAATAAAACAATCAGACAAAAATAAATATTACAGGACAAAACAATGGGGAGGAAACTTATCTTTTCAGAAAGGTAAATATTATATTGACAACCTTGTGCCAAACTTGTATGAAATTATAAATGACAAAAAAGCAAAATGTGTAAAGATAAAACAAGCAACAGAAACAAAGGACTTCTGTTATTTGAAAAATCTTTCTTTTTCTTTTTCTCTTCCTTTTTTTTTAGAGTCTCTTATGTTTCTCTTTTCTTTTATATTTCTTTTTATCTTTTCTCTTTTCTCCTTGCTGAGTAGAAAGTTTATCTGTGAAATGAATTTGTTTTGGTTTCTTTTCTTTCTTTTTCCTTTTCATCTTGTCCAGGGGTTGAGTGAAGAATAAGTTGAATCTTTCTTTTCCTTGGCTCTCAGGATAATGTATATTTCTTTGTTTCATTGTATCTGTTTCTTTTAGCATGCCAGAGTTTGATTTCTTTGAATCAACACTTTACAGAGTCATTTCAGCTCAGAAACCTTAATAGATTCATATCAATTCCGCACATCCAAATTTATAGCAGATCATAGCAAGTTTAGCTGGATGTCCATTCAGTTTGAATTCTGAAGAGGGATTGACTTGGTGGTGGTCTTTATTTTCGTGCCTCGATTTTGGCATGTGACCAATGACTTTATTTATTATATGTAAAATATTTAGTAGAAAGTGCTCAATATCTGAGCTTTCCATGCAAGCTATATATATATATATATATATATATATATATATATATATATATATATATATATATATATAATTATATATATATAAAAAAAATAAAAATCCATTTTTGGTAATAAATTTATTTTGATGAATATTCATCTTCTCCAACTGAAGAAAATGTAATCAGTCTGATGAGATAAATATACCTATATTCAGCAAAATAAAATGAATTTTTAAGGTATTTTCCTCATATGGATTAAAAGTCCTTGTTGGAATAATCCCTACCAATTACAATTTGGTGTATATATATATATATATATATATATATATTAAATTAAATATATAAAAAAATTCAGACGACATCCATTCAACTGATGTCATGTTTCATTGTAAAATACCTCCCTACCCCTTACCAAATTGTAGCTAATAACTGATACAACGATACTGACATAAGGAAAATCTAGACACCCCTTGTTCAATTTGAGTAGAATATTCTGTAACCATGGAAACGTGATTTTAGCTGTGTCTTTTAAAACCGGTAATTTTTAAAAGTTACTCCAAAATTAACTTGAAGATGAAATGGAACTAATGCTTTTAATTTAATTGCAAAATTAAATTGGGGTTTTAGCTTCTATTTTTGAAACATGGTTGGAACTGTGTAGTGAAAAAAAACCATATTTTAAATCAATTAATTTATAATATTAATGCTCTGTAAATTTACATTGAGCACTATTTTGTAAAAATAAAAATATCTATAAGAACACGGATTTTATATCTTACTGTTCTTTTTTTATTTATATATATATATATATATATATATATATATATATATATATATATATATATCATATATTTTATTATTATTATCATCTTTTTTTTGTTAAACTTTTTTGTACCTCTGGTCTTCTTTAGGTGGTCTGGGTAACAATCATAGAATTATGAACTGGAGAGGGGTGGGCTTCACCAGGTTTACTTTTCCCAAGCCTGCTACACATAAATAAACATCTACCAAGATAGTCATGTGCTGCAAACCTATCCTATGATCACATCCACTCATGGGACTGATGAAGTCTATGATGATGACATGAAAATTATATTCCTTCAAGACACATTGCATCTTTACTCATGACTTACTAAATTGTAATTCCTCTTCATGGCATCTCTCAAGAGATGCCCATCTCCTTACCTAGTAACATGTAACTAGGTTACATGGTACCAGCTGCAAAGAATCCCTGACCTGATCTATTATTGAATGTTCATAATAGACTGCCTTTACAAGGTTAAAGAGCTCTAACTGCCCAGCTGTTTATCCAAAGTTGAAGGGAGGAGTGGATTCATGCCTTTCCTGAGTACATTAATGTGAAATGAATACAAACTATTCAAAATAAAGTTTGAAACCACTTTGTTGATTCCATTCTCTGTGCCATTAATAATTGTGCAACATACACATCCATACCATTGTCCTCTTTCTTCCTTGAAATCTATCCACCACTAAGTTTGCTAAACTTAAATCTTTATTTTGAGGTACTTAGATTATCACAAGTGAATGTACAGTTTGTAGTACGTTTTCACGATCAAGTATTTTTAGTGTTTTAATAAAACACTAGTTCAGTTCATAGTACTTCATTAATGGCAAGATTATCAAATTCCAAATCTCAATTGTTTCTCTATTTAGAATATTACATTTATTATAAAATGTATTTAATTTAAATATACGAGTCATAAAAATGACTGCAAAATACCGTACATTTCAGCTTATACTCTGTACCGGCTACCCAGGGTTGTTGCCAGATAGAAAGGAAAATTTGCCTTCTCAACACAAGTATATTCAAATGGTATATATATTTATTTATTTGGGGGTATTATATTTAATTTAATTACAAAACTAAAAAGAAAATAACAAAAAATAATTCTACTGAATAATTTCTGAAAAGTTCAATAAAATCTTTTCATTATTTGATTTTTTTAAGGTTTAAAAATTTTTTTTTCTAATCTCCAACTTTATGATTTTATTGACTGAGTGGGAGTAAAATGCATTATTCCAATGTCTTATTTCTAACTCACTCAAGTATGAGCATGTGCATCTACTTGTGTGTACATTAATTGACACAAGGACCTGTAAGTCACTCATACACAACACAGACATATGCATATACATTACATATGCTCATGCAAAATTACACACACAGTGTATGACAGACAAAGAATAAACTCTACTTTTGTAATATAGATTGTCACTATTAAATAAGGTTAAAAATATGGGACTTTTATAGTCCTATCAGTTTCACTATATAATAACCCAACTATTGACAATCCTTTCATCTTGATTTTCTATATTAAAATCATTAGCAATACATTTATATTATAAAGGTTTAATGGATTTATTTTTTAGCGGATTATTTTATTACTTCAAATGTTATTTTTAGTGGATACCCAATGTTTGAAATAGATCACCTGTTTTTTTAATTTTATACAGAGTGTATTATATTTACTGGCTTGCACACTCAAGAAAATTTAATAAAGGAAATGTGCTCTCTAGCAGAGAAATAATGTATGTATATTATACATATAAATAGTTGTATTCTGTCAGTATCCACTGAATTAACACTTGACCACTGATGATCCCCTTCCTTGAAATTTGCTCAAATAAATTTTAGGTTAAAAATTGCAAAATTTGCTGCTTAAATCGTTTGATTTAAGATCTGATAGTGACTTTATTTATTCACTGCTCAATTAATATCCTTCTTCATCTTTTTACACTAAGACCAACACTTGCAAAGAGTAGAGATTATTAGAGATTCTTTTATGAAGTATGTGTAAGCTGAGGTGGAGAGCAAAACTGTACTCTTTCTACTTTTTTTATTGATGTCTCTAAAGAACACTAGTCAAAATAAACATGTCCTAAGCAACTTTGAAGTCATGCTTAGATTTAAGGTCTTGAAAGTCAAATAAAGTTTTAGCAAATTAAGGGATCATTGTGAGGGTAATTAAAAAAAATATTGAAAAGAAAATTCATACCTTGAGTATTGAAATAATAATGTTTCCAAAGTGGCCTGATTTTGTGTTGCCCACCCACATCCCAAATTGTAAATTTCAGATTCTTATATTCCACAGTTTCAACATTGAATCCTGAAAATCAAAGAAAAGCATAAGTAGATACAAATTCATACAAAATTAAAATATTACAATTTTATAGAGGGAAACTGCTTAAAGCTTGAAAGAAAATTATTAAAAATTAGTCTTGAATGAAAGTTTGAAAGGATGCAGATGATATAGATTTTGAAACTAAAATTGTCAATTTGACTTCTACTTAAAGTCATAGATGTTACTGCTTTAATATTTAACACTTTACAAAAAGGCATGCAGCTAAATCTCCCTGTACTTTGTCCTTAAAGTATTTTGCAATATAAATTATTTTTGTAGAGTAATTGGCCATGGTTAAATGTAATTAGTAGAAATGCCCAAACAAACAGAATTGACAAAGTTTGCAATAAACAATGACAAGAAAAAAAAAAAAGAACAAGGCAAAACACTAAGATTAAGCACCCTAAATGTAGAAATGACTGCACTTCCAGTTTAAACAACTCAACCATCTGCTGATAATTCTCAATACAAAAAAAAAAAAATAAATAGAACGGACTACAAACCTTTGTGCTTCTCAATAAATGAAAATAAAATGGTAGTATTAAAAATGAATCACCATAAAGATACCAAAACTACAATAGCTGAATAAATTTTCACCTATAAGATGACATCAGGTCATCATAAGAAAAATATATTTAACTAATAACCATAAAATTTTGTAAGAGACAAATTCAACAATTCTCAAGGAAATGGAACAACTGGTTAAAAAAGATTGTTATTTTAATGGAATTAAATATAATGTCAAAAAGCAAAACACAACAAAACACAAAAAGACAATTTGCCACAAAGATAATGCAATGAAACCAAAATATTTAGGATTCCCATTTATTTGGCAGAGTTCAAAGAGGCTACCTTGTAATTTTGAATCAACCTTCAATCAGAAGAGCTAATCATAACATAATTGTTGATATTTTTTGAGTTTTTTTTAATATTTTCATTACTTTACCATGCTTTTCTTAAGTAATGCTTCTTAAAAAAGTTTATAAATAAAAATACAATCTTTAAAATGTACAATACATCTATTCTAAGACAAATCCAAAAGGTATCATATTGATCTATTCACAAGAAAACTAAAGAATTACAATAGCCTGAAAATCATAAAATAAAACATCTAATACATTTTCATTGGTTTTTAATATCAAAAGAAACTTTTGAAAAATTGAAAAGAAATTATTATCTACAAGAAAACAATCAAGAGTTATTTAGGCATGTGCAAAATTCCCAGAATTTTCTCAGACTAAATGCACAAGATAATTATTTTTAAAATTGCTTGAAACTTGTGCCCACATCTGATATAGTCATCCTGAAATTTCTCTTTTTGATAAAATATTCTTGAGGTTGCTACTACTAAACGCCAATATGCTCTCTGATCACCATCAATTGAAAGCTATTCAAAATGTGAATAATATGGAAAAAAATCAAGATCAGCAGCAAATATTCTTACTAGATTTTTGTTCATCTTTAAAAGAAAAATAATTTTACTTTAAAAATAGGGAAAGTCAACTGAGAAAAGATTAATTTCATTTATGAAGGGAGTAAATATTAGTATTACCTTCATTTTATTGTTAATAGATTTTGCAGTCTTAATAATTTTTAACTAATAGTTACTTCAATTTTAACCTTTTTTTTAGTAGCTTTTTATTACAAAATCCATTTACTTTCATCTTAAAAAATGAAGATGAAAATATTGGGTTGGTGCAAAAATATTTGTAGTCTTTGTTATTTTAAACTTTGATGCTTATTTTCAGTTAAACTCTAATAAAAATCAGTTTATGTCATACACAGTTTTAAAGCACAAATTTTTCTCTGTTGATTCATGTTAATGGTTTTATTTATTTTACGTGGTCAATATAAAGATAGAAAAAAATGAATTTGAGCTATTTTATTACATGATTTCAAAATGGACATAAATTAGCATGTAATATCAACCACGCATTTGATTTTTGAACTCTCAACACAGCTCAACTCTCAATATTGGTTCAAAAATTTCATACTGTAGACAAAAGCCTAAAGGATAAAATTATCCTTCAAAATCTGCAACAATTTTGTCATGCATTGGCCAATCAAAAAGGGCCAATTCTTCTTCATGAATGTCTTGTAAATTGAATGAAATTGGCTCTGAAATTCCACCTCACCCATTCTACTTACCAGATCTCTTCAACTGACAACAAATTTTGCAAATATCTTGAAATTTTTCTACAAGAGATGCTCTTCAAAAACCAAGTAGCAGCCCAAAATGCCTTTAAAGAATTCACCTTATCCAGAACTCCAGAATTCTATGCTATCAAAATGGCTTCTGATAATTCTTGTTTTGACTAAATAATTTTATTCTCAGCCAAGATATACAGATTTAAAGTTGAAGTTTGATAACTATAATTATTTTTGCACCAATCTAATTAATGACTAAAAAATGAATAATTCTGTTTGGTCTTACTTAAAATTTTAATAAAAATTGAAATGTAAAAATAATACAGCTGTTTGCTTTCAGGCATTGGCATAAAGTTTTGCTGATAATAAAGAATGAAAGAAACTCTAAAATACACACAACTTTTAATAAACAAACAAAAATCTAGATGATTTGGTTAATATTTCAATATTTATTCATATCCTCCTTGTCAAATAAAGCCTGAAAGTAATGCTTATTTCATATTTACATGAAAGAGGAATAATTATTTTTATTTTATTGGAGGTGAATCAATAAATCCATAGTCCGATACAGCTGAATTTTCATCTGAAATTTTCACATATTATGTTCAATTTATGCAATTAATGAAGATGTGTTGGGTTAAATCAATTGACAAAGGAGATTTTCTTTCAAAAGGAAATATAAATTACACATATAAGAAAAACAAATCTTTCTCAAACCAGCTCAAATGAATATTTTAATAGTAATCATTTTTTTATCATCAGAATGCTTGTTAGACAGAGAAGAGAAAAAGAAGAAAGATTTTGTTGTGGGCATTACATATGTTGTGTGTTTCTGTTTAGAAATACCCACAACAAAAATGATAGATTTGGTATGTGAGTCCATGTGAATAAATACAATGAAACAACAAGAACCAATATGTGTACAAACAAATGATAATGTATTAACAAGAAAGGTATACAAGTGACCAAGACAATGATGTATGTAACAAAAGAATGTGAAAACCTTTTTGGTCCAAAGGATGTGAAGTGAGTGAATGTGTGTTGTGTGTGTGGTATGTTCATGCGTTTCTCAACGGGAAACACATTTTTCCACGAGAGACTTACATGTTGACACACATGTCATCATGTAAGTCTCTCGCAGAAAAAGTAAGAAGCGGTTATGAAAAATTATCACAGAATATTTATAGTCCAGAGAGTTTCCCCTAGTCACAGTTTCAGGAAAGTGAGTAGAGTTAATTACACAATTTATTGACAGATCATTGGTTTAAAGAAATGTCATCTATTTAGTATGCTCTAAGTTTTAGAATGGTTTGACAATACAGGTCAACATTTTAACTCACCAATGGTTGGAATTGTTTGAATGAATTCATTCTGTTTCAATTTGAAGAGAATGCTTGTTTTGCCAGCGTCATCAAGGCCTAGAGTTACCACTCGCATCTCCATCTTAGGACCAATATGCACACGATTGTCCTTTAAAAAAAAAAGAACACAATGTAAATTAAAACAAAATTCTTGTTAGAGTGTCATGAAGCTAAAAGAAAAAGGAGAAAAATAAATTCTAGAATTTTACATTTGGTTCATGAATGACAAAATGTGAGAATTTGATGTAATTTGAAGTTAGGTTAGGAAAAATAAAATGAAATTGGAATTTTGTTCATAAAAAGCAGTGAAGCAAGTTGATTAAATTGAAATTTGTAAAATATTATTGAATTCTTTTGATCATTGAATATAAAGGTTTATACATTTGAAAATGAAAATGTGCATTTACTTTTTCTTTCTCATTGGATATGTAGCGATACAGAAGGCGCTCATCTTCCTTTGGTAGAGACAAGTCACATGAAATGACAGCTGCTTAATGACGTCACTCCATACAGTGATGAAAGGAGCATCAAATTCAGTTTGTTTACAGCAGCCAGAGGTTGCTTTCTTTTAGCCTGAGCCATGGATCCCAGAGTGAGGCTAAATCTGTCTCCCCTGGCAGCTTACAAGCACATGGTGCTGTTTACCTTTGGGAATATATCTTTCCCAGATATAGAATGAAACTGCAGTTCACAGCCCTCAATTTGGGAAAACCCAAGACTCACTGTTTCCCATTTGTGGAATATATCCTTGCCTGGGACATAGATGAATCTGGAGTCCTAAACATGGCTTCCCCAGACACAGGAGTGTTACGGCTGGCACAACACAAAATAAGAAGAACCAGATTCGTAGGAATTAAAGTTGAAGAAAAAGATTACATGTAATAACGAAAAGTGGGTTTTATTTAACATAATATAATATTTTTTATAAACAGACGGGCTGAGGTTTAAACAATATATGTTGGGAAATGCTAACAAGTTAATAAGCATGTGAGAGCCCAGAAAGTAGTTGGTTTAACGTGTAGCTATATGGGAGAGTGGGAGAGGAAATCCAATACAGTTAAGATTAAGGCAACAGATGGGAATTTGTCACTAGTCAAAGAATCATATTATTTTCTTATTAGAAAAATACTTAGATATTCACATGTATATAAAATAAAGGAGTTTGGTCAATAATATCAAGGAAAAAAGGTGAAGTATTTACCGATAACCTTTTCTTTTTGAGGACTGTCGGAACTTAGATTCTTTTGGTCGAAGCTTTGTTCATGAATCAAAAGGACTGGAGTTGACCTCAATAGTCATGGCTGTGGTTTCAGGAGGCACCTGGCTAGTTGGTACAAATCCTGTTTATATATGTTTTTTGTACTCTCTAGAACCCAGTAGAAGTTTCTAGAGAGTCTAGAAAATTCCATTCTATTATTATGAAATCTAAAGGGTTTGGTGAATGGGAGCTTTTCGTAAGGTAAAAAGGGCATCTAGTAGCTACAGATTTAAGTCATCATTTTAAGTTAGATTTTGTATTTTATAGTGTAAGTGCAAAGAAGTAGGACAAAATGGGGCCTCGTAACAAGAGTATCTCCATATTATATGTAAGACTCTTCCTTTTTGTCTCTCCTTACACACTGCTTTGCTGTGTAGTTATATGTGATATATTATTCTTCATGTGGAACATGTGTATATATATTTTTGTATGTCTTAGTGATATAAAAGTCTCTCTGAAAACAAAGCATCTTTGTCATTAGATTTCCTTTCAGCCATCCCATTCCATTCATGAAGTACAGTGTTATTATATCATGGATATAATAATGCCCATAGCAGGGGAAATACAACAAACAGAATAAATCTTTCTTCCATAGCTTTCTCCTGTTACAGGTAGATATAAAAATAACTCCCAAAATAGACTTGAGGTAAAGAAGAAAATAAAAAGAAATCTGGTTGATTTATTTGAAATGTCTTTTGTGTATTTGCATCATTTTCAGAACAAAACTTTTATTATGGAATTGATACAATAAGCTTGTAGCTTGACACAGTTATTAGCTGAAATCCATGTGATTAATGGAGCAACATTGGGTTAGGTGCATTGACAGGGAAGGAGGTTAAATAAATATCTGTTGTGTATAATAAAGGTTTTTTGTTTCACCATTGCTATAGCTTGGTATTGAACTCACAACTCTTTGGGTCTAGTCACTGGATCTAACCAATGCTTTTAACCACTGGTCCATGTGTCCTTGATGGTAGACAAAATAAAGGGTTCAGTTCGAAATTCTAATTCCAATCACCTGAAGAAGGCCAGATCATACAACAGCTGAAACGTTGTGAATATGACAATGAAGATGAGGATAACAGTCCAAATAATGTAAATAATCATAATACCTCATCTCAGAGATATAGACAGAAAACATTTGCGATAAATTTATCCAAATTCTTCTGAAGGTGAGTAAATTAGGATTGGAATTAGGGCAAGATATTCTTACAAGTTAAAAAAGAAAAAACTGATCTGTTCATTAGACAGTTATAAATAATCTGTCATTTGTGTAGACACAGTTTTGAACAAGTTATATGTCCCTGTTTGGTGGTTGAAGTAGTTGTATATTTATGTTCAGGTAAAAAGCCAGGATCCTGAATGCCGATTTTAAGGTAGACAGGCCATTCTTACTTGGAAGATTGACAAAACACAATTTTTTTTTACTTTCCATGTGATTTCATGTACAAGGTAGATGTTGAAATGTTCTTGGCCTGACACAATTCATAAAATCTTTACTTTGATGGCCTAATAGAATTTTCGTGGGAAATGTTAAAGAAACATTGCACTAAATGTTCAACATATTTAGTATGTTGCCTCTTAAGTTGAATATGCCTAAGCTGAGTGAATATGTGGAATATAATGGTTGAATGTATAACAGAATAAAACACTGAGCTGAATTTTTCCCTATGAGGAGATCAATCAAATTTTTTAGAAATCAATCATGGATTAATCACTTATTCCCTTTCAAATTCATTTTGAACACATGGCAAACAGTTAGGGGACGGGAAAAATAATTAAATGCCATCCCTTCACCTCCCCCAGAGTATCAATCACCAAAATTAGATTTGAACCTCTTCTGCAAATTTAAATGGCTTTTGCAAGAACAAAACCCAAATGTATACAACTGACATTCCAAAGAGACAGTAGAGTGTGAGACAAAAAGATTAACTCACCCGTGTGAAGGTGATTGGAATGGTAGGGTCGAGAGGAAGTTGGTCAGGTAATTCTGAAAATTGTTGTTGTTGTTTTTGGATAGTATCCAGCAAACTGTTCACTTCATGTTTGGCAAGGACGACTTTCGTGTCATCCTGTAGACAAGAAACATTAGATTGAATTTATTATCAGAGGAAGTATTATCAATTATTCATTTTGGACTTATATTTTTGTCATTAACAGAAGAGGTTGGAAATAAAACCATATTTTCTGTACTCTTTATATTCAATCCACAAACTCTGATAAAATGTGACTGAAATTAAAATGAAATTAATACTATAAAATTAATAATAATTCCAAGTTTTCATACAATAAGAAAATTTATGATAATATTGCAATTAACACTAATATTATATGTAAACTGTTTCAAAAATTTTTGTAAACTGTTGCAAGCACAAGCCTTGAACTGTCATGATTGAACCTTCAGTTGCAACAAAACACCTGACTATTGCAAATTTGGGACATGACTTTGAACTAATGCAAATCATACCATGAGTGGGCTTGAGGAGAGTTCACAGGTCAACTGATGTACTCTGTCAGGTGCACAGCATAAGTATAGCAAAGTCATTTGCATGGGTAGTGGAGGATCACCACTGAATACTTGTCAACTATCTCTGTTGCAATAAATACATTCTAATTGCAGTCATTTTTCTTTGCTATATTAACATTAAAGATAGCAACAAAATGGAGATCCATAAAAAAAATTGGGGTTGCATTTGATCTTCTGTAGCCATTTAAACTTTGTGGCTTTATCAGTAAAATAAATCTTGTCTCAGGTTTCAAGAGAAAGAATGGAACCAAATTAACAGCTTACAAGAGGATTATTCATTATTACCAATGTCTACAGACAGCCATAGATTGACAGTCAGATGCTTATGTCTTATTTCCAACTACAATGTCTATTAACATCTGTAGAATGATAACCTGAGATGTGACAAACAACAACTAAAATTAATTACAACAATTAAACAAACATGTTTTACTTAATTTTTCTCAATTTTTTTACTTTGTTTTTTTTCTAAAATCAAAAAATGTTTTCTGATCAAAAGAAGAAATTGCTCAAAATCATGACAGAGGCACAAATGGCTAATAAGTTTATATTATTGAGTTCTTATAGCAGCAATTTGTTTATTGCTTTTATTTGCTTGAACAAAGAAGACATTCAGTGGCAAGATGTTCCCTAATGGCTGTTAACCACTTGGACAAACTCTTTTCTTTTACAAAGACGCAAAATCTTTAATGAATTTACATATACACTTCTGACTTCTCTAATATGCAAAATGTCTTCATTCAATTTTTTAACAAATATCAGAAAAATAATTTTTCTTCCTTTTAGCTAAATCAGATATATACAAAATGTTTGCAAAATTGAACAAGGTCAAAATACAAGACAATTTCAATGGAAGATGTGTAAAACAAAAGAATCTGCACTCTCTCTCTCTCTCTCTCTCTATATATATATATATATATATATATATATATATATATATATATATATATATATATAAAAGAAGGAACAGTCAGATTAATAATCCAGAGTTCTTTAGCATTTATTTTTAAAAACAGTGCTCGATGCACAATAGAGCACAATAATTATTATAATTATTATTTAAAAATATGTATTCATCGCAACACAGAAATTACCATGTTTCAAAACCCAAACCTAAATCTTAAATTAAACTTTAAATTTAATGTTTAATTTAATTTTCAGAATAAGTTTCAAAAAAATGATTTACTCTATTTATAAGCTAAATAGTATTATATAGTTTAAGTTGGTGTTGGAATGAGAATTCAAAAAATATTTTAAAAGGGGGGGTGACGAATCAAGCTACAACAAGTATCATTTAATTTAAGGTGGTAAAGTAAAAATCAGTTAAGGTTAAGTATAGGTTAGAAATTTTTGTCTATTGATACTGGCTTCCTTTTATGGGAACATGACATCACACTGTTTTATTAGGATACATTACAATGCAATTGGCATTTTTACTTATTTTTTAATTTTATAAAATACATTGTGATTTTCTTAAAGGGGCTTTCAAATATGAGTAAGTGATATTTTTTATATTTATATTTTTTATTTTTATTTACTATATTTATTATATTTACTAATAAACTATATATGGTATTGTAAAATCAAAATATTAGGATTTAATTACGCATTTTCTTTCTTATTTTTGATCCAATAATAGATATATAATTATGCAAATTTTTTTTTATACTTAAATATTTTTTAAAGAAAATATAATACAGTGTCTA